TGATGGATGTCATGGAATACTGCTTCAATCCCAATCAAACATACACTGTAGAAATAGTAGAAGACTACTCATTGATGGGGTTAGTCTCCCCTGAGCCAGGAACAATAGAAGCTAGTTCTATTAATACTTAATTAATTGCTTGCTATTAAGATTTTTGTATTTATGAGAGAGAACTGTTTATTAAAATACGATTTTCAGTTGATTTCAATAATAAAAAGAATTATTTTCTAACGTTTATTAATTTACAAACAATTAAAAAGTCTTTCAGTTATTTTTTTAAAATAATGTTACATTAGTTCCATTGTATGCAACCAAAGTTTGAATTTGAGTTTCATTTTGGATGTAATTTATGATTTCATTAATTTCTTTCTCTCTATACTTTGATGAATAGCAACGAATGATAAATTTACTCGGACAAATACACCCATTAACAATACTAGATAAAATGTCAGGAGTTGGATACTCACATTTTCTTTGAGTTTTGGTGTTTTGATTAATTATATAGTCATACACCAATACGTCTATTTGAATTTTATTGGTTTGAATATGAGTTATCACTGGAGAAAAGTCTCTTATATCTCCATTAAACATTACAACTGTTTTTTGCTTTAATTGTCTGTTGCTTATTTGACAAATAATTCCATAGTTTGGTATTGAGTTATTACGAACTGAAGGAATAATAGTGAACTGAATATTACATATATTAAGTTGAGTTATCTCTGTTACATTTAATTCTATATAATTGATTGACTCAGGGGATTTTTCTCCACAATACTCAAATAAAGAGTCAACCAACATTTTTATTCCTTTAGGTCCAACAATTGTAATCTAAATGATTTAACTTTCTGAAGAGTATATTCACAATGAAAAAGTAATTAAATCAAACTTTTCCTTTTGTTGAAAATGAAATAATATGAACAATTCCTCCTATTCCACTTGAACGGTTAGCCTGTGGACTGGTTATTATAATTCCACGAATTCTTTCAATTGGGACTTTCATTTGAATTAATTGGTTTGCCATTCCCTAAAAAGTAATGAATTTTATCCATTAAAATAATTAAATATACAACTTATTCTATTGGCAAACTTCTCCACAATCAAAAAGAAAGAGGTCTTTTCCTTTATTAGTATAAAGTAATGTAGATGCAATTGGTTGTGCATAAATTGGTTGTGAATTAGTGGTATTAATGAATAAAATATGAGACATGTTAAATTAAAAGATAAAAAATTATAAATAAATATCAATCAATTATTAACATAAATCCATCATTTTAGATGGAGTATTTTGAGTAGTATTTAATTTGGAATTAATCATTTGTTTTACACAATGGTTTGGTTCTTGATATACAATCATTGCATTACTTGGTTTCTTCCAAAAAACTCTGTCTAATAACGGATTAGGTTGATACCCAACATGTTCTAATTCTTTAACCATTTTTGGTTTCCAATCTACTGGATGATATACTTCCATTGGTACAATTGTTTGTTCTTTAATTGGTGGTTTTTCTTGTTTCTGAGATTCGCCATCTGTTGGTAAGTCTTCAACATATCGTTTGCCTTGTAAAAATGATTCATCAAACTTCATTCTTCTTAACATTGGAAACATTTTAATCATATGAAATTGAATTTGATTACGTTGGATTTGATTTTCATCATCATCATCTTCAAACCTTCTTTTATAAGGTACACACAACATTAATTTATTTTTTCATTTTTTTAGATTTTGTGTTATCAATAACATGATGTATGAACTACGTATTGATATCGTGGGTTATACGTGTTATATCAAAATAACCTAAAATAAGCATTTTTATAATTTCTAAGTTAAATAGAGATATTGTTTATTTTTATACATTTGAGGGATTAATAGATACATTCAAATTTTTACAATACTTTTTACTTCTATCATCATCTCTTGTAAAAGTTAGTTTGTGGTTATTAAATAGATTTAGTTAAAGAGTTAGAAATAACTAACTGTATAAGAGTGTGATACTCTTATTAATCATTCAATGTTATTTTTAGTACAGACTTGAGTGAAGAAAAATTCTTTTTATGGAATTGTTACAATATGCTTACTTGTGTTTTAAAAAAATATAAAAATCCGGAATTTGTCAGAACTACAGGGTTGTTGGGAAGTGTGTTAATATTGTGACATGACTATTATTTTTTTTCTTTTAATTTAGTTGTTATTTTTTGAGCTTTTTGTTGATGGCTCTTACAAAATATTTTATTACAATTAAATTATAAACCAAATATTACACATATAATTTTTTGTTAAAAGAATTTATTCACTATAACCATTTAGATAATGTTTAAAATATCATTCAAATATTTGTTGTGATTATATTTTTGATTTTCATTTTAAACATCTTCATTTGTTTTTCTTTTGTTCATTTTATTAAAGATACTCTTTCTATAAATCCTTTTTTGTTTAATTAGCCAAATATATTTAATTTAATAAAATACTGTTATTTTGAATTTCTATTTTTTTACAACTGCTTTTTATTATTTATTTATTTATGTTATATTTCGTTGTTTTTATGGATATTGAAATTAGATGTATTATATTTATAATAATATCTATTTTTATTTTTATTATTCTTAGTAAACATGATACTTCATTGAATACTATGATTCTAAAATTTTTATATGATTGAAAATTCATAATAAGTATTAATTTGTTTAAACCAGTGTTAGACACATATTCTTTTCATCATTTTTACTTCTTTTTTTTAACACAACTCTAAAAACTTTGTAATATTCATTAAAATAAACTTAACATATTATTATCTTATATAACGTCAATACCCCATTTATAGATAGATAATTCATTCAACAATTATCAACTTTATTCTAGTCTAATTTGAGTTATTTTTATAATCACTATTGTTTCAAAAGAGAGAAATTTTTCAGCATGGATTATTTTTGATGAAACGTTAAACTTAGAAAGAAGAAAATGAGAGTTTATGGTACAGAATTATTATTGAATTAATATTTTGTGTTTGATTTCTTTTTTATTAGTTTCATGATTTTATATTCAAAAGACTAGATAAATTATTATAATAAGGTTCTTCGATATTAAGTTGTCTTGAATATGTAATTGACAACAAGTTAAAAGAATACCAACTGTTTCTCAATTATTTAAATATATACAAAATTAATGAACTTAATAGACTTATATCGATAAAAGCTATTCTATTAAATTTAAGATAAGTATTTCATTTTAATTAGTTAGTAGAAGGACACCAAGATGATAAAACAGTCGTATTAACATTAAAATATATCATCAAGCAAGGAGATGTTGAAATGTTAAAAGGAAAGAAATGGGGTAAGAAGTGGGTTG